CAATCTTTCTCTCGGCGATGGGGAAGAATCAAGGTTACAAGGCTATGCAAAGAGCCAGAGTTGGCTCCAGCTCCGACGCACCTAATGAGATCGAAGACGGCATGGTTTGTACCTTTTCATACTACCAATTGATGATACTTTTAACAACAAACCCAATTGATTTCGTTTTGAAATTGATGATTTTTTTTGTGTTATTGGGTTCTCAAGCTCTGTAAATTTTCCCCCTTTTGAAGCACATATTGTTGTGACCTAGATTTTGCTTACATATAGTCTCTGTATCTGTCTTAGATCTTACTAGTTAGTTTAGTTAATGTTTTTGAAGATGATGAATTGTTATGCATATTTGTTAGTGTGGAATCAGATTTTTGTATCCCTTGAAATCAAGAGTTTCTGAATTATGTTGGAATTGAAGCTTTAAGTAAAATCTCAAGCATTAGCTTTTATCTGGATGCTGAAAATGTAGTTTTGATAGGATTCATTTGTTCCTCTATGTCAAGTTGTTTTTTTTTTTTTGTCATCTGGCTCGATGTTTCTAGTTTACCAAAAACATTTCTGATGAGGCGAGTCGCAGGTGGATGGTTCATTTCATACACCAGAGTGGCATGCTGCTCGTTTGGCCAGTCTCAAGACTACACACACAATTACTTGGGAAGAATATAAGAATAAGCAAAAGGTAAGCCGTAAGCCTGCGATTCGTAATTTTTTTCATGTAAGATCAAGCAATCATTGATGCTAAAGTGGTTAGGAACATTAATGTCTTCTTCTATTCAAAGCTCTTACCTACAAACATTGTATTCAATGGACCATCACTTATTGAAAGTTGAGTCTTTTATCGCATAGTTGCATGGATGGTTATGCTGAAGTAAATGATCTAGGGTTCTTATCTTCAACAGGTTTATTTGCATTGTGTTTTATGGCAGATAAGAAATGTTTCTCTTTTTATACACTTTACATGACCGCTAATTAGGAAGAAGAATTGAAACAAGGGGAACTTGAAGCAGATACCGATAAGTTGATGCGTGAGTATAGAGCTCAGCTGGATGCTGAAAGGGCAATGAAGCTTTCTAAGGGAAGGAACTATTCTAGCGATAAATCCAGAAAAGGTACACATATGATCAACTTCATCAGATGGAATGTCATATTGAATCCGTAATTCGGGTCTTTCTTTTCTAACGTGCACTATGATATTACAGATAGGAAGGACAAAGATCTCACAGATAGAAAGGATAGAGATTCAAAGAAAAATAAAAGCAAAAAGAGAAAGGTCCTTATAACAGCTTTACTCGAATATCTCCTGTAATGTTGTTGGCTTCTTATTAACATGCACATTGTGTGTTTCCAATATGCAGCATTCGAGAAGGCGATCATCTGACTCAAGCTCATCCTCAGAATCATCAAGTAGTGACGAGGAGGAATCTAGAAGATCGAGGTCAAGTTCTAAAAGATCAAAAAGGGACAAGAAACACAGTTCTAGAAGCAAGCACTCAAGCAAAAGTAAAGACGATGCTGATGGTCCTGTACCGCTTTCGAAATTCTTTGGCAGTCTTTAAGAGTTGACACATTTGCAAGCCTTGAGATTTGTGTTCCCCAAATACTCAGTTTATCTTTTTTACCTGAAAACATGATTTGCTTCATCAAATACTCAGTTTCTCTTCTGCAACATTTATAGTTCTTATTTGATATTTTTGGCAACAATTTGCGCACCGGATTCAATAATTGCATAATCCTTTTTCTGTTGAGGTATTCAATGGTGAGCAACCTTAACACATGAAACTATTTCTGATATGATTTAAGTCTTAATAATTGCAACAAGAAATGAGGTCAAATTACAAATACTTCAGAGGCCAAAAAAAGAGAAAAAAAAATCCAGAAGACTTAAAATTAAAAAGTTTTAGCCCCATCCCAAGCATCTCACAAGTATACACAAAAGACAAATAATGATATTTCCTCTTTAAGAATCTTGTCCAAATCAAACCAAACCAGATCCATTATCATCAACCAAATGCTGTTCTTCGAACTATTGCTGATATTCCGGATTGAAAGCAAGCGCCTCACGGTATATGAGCTCCTTCATCTGCTCCTCTGAGAGCGCGTGTTGCTCAAAATCGAAGTTGAAAGGTATCGTGCACTCTGGCTCATCACTTATGTCGTGCAGCGAATTCAGGTATGGATGGGCAAGTGCGTCTAAAACT